CAAACAGCACCAGTTCAACTAAAGATGAGGGAGCAGCGATTACGATGGTTCGGACAAGTCCTAAGAAGACCACAGAGCCACCCGATAAGGAAGGCAATGGAGTTCGAGGCGCAAGGCAAGCGACCACGGGGAGCCCCAAAGAAGAGATGGCGGGACGTGATCAAGAAGGACCTCGCCGAAGTCAAGGTGACGGCAGAAGATGCCGTAAATAGAATGAAGTGGAGACAACTGATAAGAACAGCGGACCCTGCGACGGCGCGGGACTAACGCTAGGGAGAAGAAGAATTACCATGAAGAATTGAATTTGGAAGACATCCAATGGAGGATATTCACAGCAAAGAATCATATTTATCACAGACTTATCCCACTTATTTAACATCAACCGGTCAGTACGCGCCGCGCATCTTCCGATCGGCTCCACGTTGTTTGAAGGCGTTCTTATGACGTTCCTTCATCTGCCGCTGTCGACCACCAGTATAGGAGGTTCCACGAGAAGTATTTTCTGGTATTGCAAACAGTAACAAAATGAAATATTCGATAAGTATACTAACTCTTACCTCCTCCATTTGCTGCGCTACCGCTAGCGTCCTTATTGCCATTATTGTTTGTACCACCTCAATGTTACCCATTGAAACTCGACAACAAAATAAACAATGGATTTCACCAGTAAAGTAACCGAAAAATCACCAGCGGAGTTGGCAGATCCACGAGTGGTGTTTCTGTACTGCCGGCCGCGACCACCTCCCCTAGGCTTACCAACTCCTCCGACTTCCGCCTCATCCGTTGCTTCTCCTTCAGTCTCATCTGACGACGTTTGAGCGCTAAAAAAACTATTTAGTAACAGTATAAACACTAATGTACGAAACTGTAGACAATTGCAACCATCGCAGTAATGACGAAACCCCTGGGGCTGAGGTAATGTGGCTGCAAGAAGGGCACACTATTACTCTTATGATTCCTGGATCGAATCCTGGAACGGTACCTGCCTCGGTTTAGAAATCCCATAACTTCCCACTCCCGAAACGGTGAATTGGTAACAGACTCGTCCGAGAGGATAAAAGGACTGACAAGTACATCGGCTGGACACTCAATCATTGTATTGACCACACTCGGGTTTGAACGTCACCATGCTTTTAAATAAAAACCGAATGCTGAGTCCCACGAACAGATTTGATAACGCAGAAACACTTAAACTTTTAGACCCTCACTGACAAATGATCGGTGAGTCTAAACGACTATTGAGTGAACGCAATGACGAGAGCCTTGCAACTCCATACACTGAGAAATAGGATGGATATCAGCCTGGACTCCAACGGTAATTTCGACGAGTTGTTGATAGTTTTACGACGGTCGAAACTGCTCACATTGCCCATATCGCGAAGGAAGGCTCTGTTCGCCACTTCAGTCATTCCCAATATTGATTCTGATTTTCTAATGCTAAATAAGCTTTGGTACTCCTACCAGACTCGTTTTTAGTGCTCCTATAAGGTGGGCAGAACACATCATACGATATAGTGATGACCGTCGGACCAAAGTGGTTACTGAATGGATCCTTTGGAATGTCAAGGGATTATGTTTAGCCTTCTTTACAAAAACTCTGAACAAAAAAGGAATGTTGAGCCTTTTGCCCTTGAGGCAAGGAAGATACACACTGGACTGTCCTGGCTCGCGACAGGGACTAATGAAAACGTTACTAGCGCCCACTCAAGAAAATCGATGATCAACGGGACAACAAGTGATACAGGTTGTACTCCGGATCACTCCTACCGGAACTTCCCGACAACTATTAACGTCCCCTTCACAAATTTCTGCCCAAAAAAGTAGAATATAACTGGATTATAGGGTCACCGTCAGTGAATTTTACGCTAACTCCCATCAAAGGGAGTTCACAGTGAATGCATGGCATTACACTATTGAGAAGAATTCACTGATGGTCGCAAATCTCAGTCAATTGCTCATCATTTTAGAAAAAACTGTCCCATTTTGTGCAAAAGTCATGCAACGAAGGCAAGCAAATGTTTCTTTAACAGCAAAAAATAGTGAGTTCAAGGGTTATTCAGAAAAAAAGTGATTTGGCTGAATTCAGAGAGGAAACGCCATTTTTTGATATCAGTTCGCCTTATAATACCTGATACTTTTAATTACCCCGGTTGAATTACGACTTATGCAATGATCTCTTAGCACTTAAGGCATTCCGGCTTACCACTGCGCCTTAACCATTCATTTCTTCCATAGCTTTAGCTCTTAAGAAACTATCTCGACGACGCGTCTTCACCCAACAGTAGGTTCTTTGTCAAGTTATGTAAGCGGAAATGAAGAACTGATATCCTCACTTCAAAGGCTCTACGGTAAATTCTTTTTGCTCGTAACCATCATCATACTCGTCGTCATACACGTCATCAAATTTGGTCTCATATCGATACTTCTCATAAGTTGGCCGAACAGCTACTTTATCCGCTTCAGAAACTTTGAACTTGTGAGTGCTGAGATATCTGGAATATAGTAATTAGAAATTCTTGTGGAGGAGAAATCAAGGATAGAAACAATTAATCGACAAAATCTAATGTGAGAAATTTAATTCACGACCCACGTCTTTGAGTTAGCCATTGGTACCAGGCGTTCTCCCTTCACTCCGACTTCCTCAACTTCATCAAAGTCTCCCTCGGCTACACGAATTTTCAGACGATTCAACGCTTCTCGAAGTTTCTTCATCACCTGTAAACCCACAACTTCAATGATTTCAATGGACTGAACTCTATTTTTAGTTGGGTTACGCATGCTGACGAGTGTAGTCCGACGAAAAAACGCTCTGAACAGAACTACGAATTCCAGACGAGACTCCACCCACCCCAGCGCACACTCCACCCATAAAAAAATTCGAACACTTCTTCTCAGTAGCCTTTAATCACTTTTTCCGGATCCTAGAATGTTTTCGAACAAAGTGATAGACCCTTGCGTGAAGCACCTCCCGTATGAGATTCTGGAGGCGCTCTGTAGCTATCTTCGTCTAGACGACCTGTTGTTTTCTATAGTAGCCGGATTCCCAGCGATATGAAGAGAAACGTTGCTCCTCCTCAATCGAAAGGAGTTTCTGCAGGATTTGATAATGACGGAAAAGGGAAGCTGGATCATTTACGACAACAGCAAAAGGGTCACTGTCTGTCTGTTAGGTAGAGAAGATCCGTTCAGCAGCCTAAGCCAGAAAAGCGATAAAGAAAGGTTCTGCTATGCTGCCTCTAGAGCTGTTCTATACGAGCCATATCCAGGCTACGCTCTAGAAACAACTGAATTCTGTCAACAATTCGCGGGTGACTGAAAGTACCGGTTCTTCGAGACTAACTTTCACAAAGACTTCAGAATGTAGTGTATACTTCTACACCATGAAAATGGTAAGTTAATTGATCAAGGGCCAACATAAAAAGTACCTCATTAACTGGCTTCTTTTCCTGTACATCAACAGAAGTAGTGGGTGTAGCAGAAGGTTTTGATGGGGCGAGACTGATTAGACCCTGGAAAGATTTTTTTGGGATATCGAAAACCCCTTCCAATTGAATAGAAATTTAGATGTATCCACTGTTCCTTCTGTACTTGGCAAAACTATGCTATTCTGCCACCTTCGAAAGCGTGGCAATGAAAATTGTTTCAGCTTCATTTACGAGCCAGAAATAAGCTTGCACTCCATATTTGCACAATCATTGAGGGTAGGATTATTTCTAGCTCGTCAATAAAGCTTGCATTTGCAAAATCCCGGCGATCAGTACAGTCCCGTCGAATAAAAGTTGCGTGGGCACGCAAGCCAGTGCTTCTAACCTTTTAGATAAATCTGATATCCAGTACTCACAAATTGACCCCAGAAGATGGAAACCTTGGTTGGACTTAGCGTCGAGCCAAAATCCCATGTTAGAGCAATAAACGTGGTAGTATTTCACTGAGCCCTATCCCATCTTATCCCAAGTCATACGGTAGATGTTGAGGGAAGCTGAAGCTATTTGAACCATTCAGCGTTTACCTTGAAGACGTTCTTCTTTTCTGGTTCCTTTGGATGTCCCGAACTTACAGATGAGGGCGCTGTTGAATCCTGTGGTCTAGACAACGCTGACAGTATCAGCTCTGGAAATCCATTGCATAATCTCCAACAGTATCAAAATTTAACATGTCCCATATCATATCAGTGTGCTACCTGACTCTCTCACTATCATTCAGATGCCTAAAGCTATTAAACACGTCTTACCAGGGAGGGGTAGTCTACTTATCTTGCAACTTTGAATGGAGACCCA